GCTTTCTGCGGTGTCATTTAGTCCGCAGTAAGAGTCTTTAGCAAAAAAACAACACAAGGCCCAGCGCAAGGGGCAAGAAATATTCAATAATAGAGAACCATATACCATATACCCCGAAAAACCAACCCCTCTGGAGAACCCTTTTGTGTCATTTAGCGGTGGTGCAGCGGTGGTGGTGCAGGGTGGTGGTTCTAGACAACACAACGACAACAGTTGCCACTAAACACAAATTTGACATTTGCAAATCGTTTTGGGATAAGTGCTCTCCGGACATCCTGCCGATCTCCGAGGATCTCAAATGCCACAGAAGCAAGGTCCCCGAGGGCTCTAAGGGATGGAGGCTGATAATCAGCAGAGTCAGCAATGGCAGGTCCACTTAATTAAAACTTAATTGTATAGTCAGAGTCCTGCTAAACCAAAAAAAAGAAAACTAAAAGCATTTAATGATGGGCCACATGCACCAACAATTTGCATTTTTTTTTTTTGCAAAAACTGCTCCACAAAGCAACAAAAGCAGGCGAACATCAAAGGATGCAAAAGGGTGCTCCAAGGCCCCAACTTGCCAACTTCATTCCCCCTTGAAAAGTATATGTATGTATGTATGTTTTTATAAAAAAAAATAATACAAAAATTGTTTCAAAAAGTGTGACAGCAAAAAACAGAGAAACCCACCGACCGACCACCTCCCACGTTTAAATGTCAATGATTTTAATGGGCGGACGCGCAAAAATCTTGAGCCAGTTTTGTGTTGATTACGTTGACAAAGGACACGGCAGAGCAAAGCTCCTGGGGAACAGCTCACAGGAGACCAGTCAGTGCAGCTCGTCAGCCACGCTCCCTGTGCCTTAGCCGCCCCTGCTGTCGTCGTTGTCGCTTTCCCATTTGAACTCGTTGCGTTTGTAAGGTCATGGAACTTGTCTGCATTGACTTTGAGGGGAGTGAGTGGTTGCAACTTTGGAGAGGGGGTTACCCCCGCTCGGTTGCAAATAAAAACTTTTTCAATTGCCATCTCTTTCGTGGGCAAAAAGGGCTCTCTTTCTAGTGCACTTAAAAAAAGGGGTAATACTTTGCAAAGGTTTAAAGGCTGGTAGGATTGAAGGCCTGCTATACCTAGGTGTTTAGGCCTTTTTCTGTTCAATTTTTTTTTTTTTAACTTTTATAATTTTTCTTTTAGTGTAGCTTGCCGTGTCGACAAACTGTTTTCATTTTGCGCCGCTACGCGCTTTTTGATGCCGCCGCCAACAAGGCAAACAGTTGCTCCTGCCACGACTCCTGCTCTGGCTCCTAGTCCTGCTCCTAGCCTCGCTCCTGCTCTCCTGTTTTCCCCGCTTTTCACGGCGAGTTTTTCAATTGATTTTCGCGGTTTGCTTTTGCCAAGGCCACAGGATGCAGCCGGTAGAGCTGGGTGGTAGAGCAGAGCAGTTGCACCTGTGGGCCCTTCGAGTTTGTTGCTGCTGCTTCAACGCTTCTTTGTGTGCAGCACCTGGGGGGTGGGGAAGGAGGGAAAAGTGGGGATTTCCCCCCAAAAAAAAAGGGATTGGTTCTATAGAAAGTTAAGTGCTTTGTGGTTGGCAAGTTTTTCCTTTTTTTGGTTCCGCTTCTTAGTTCCCGCGATATATTTTATTTCTTTTTGCAGGCAAGCGTTTTGTGAGACTCTTCTCTTTTTTGGAGCTATTTATTTTGTACCTTTGATTGATTGATTGATTGGCCTCCATCAGGGCGATAAGTTATCGATTAGCATTCTCTTTAGACATGCTGGTGGGTCATTGTTTGGTTAATTGCTCATCATCATCATTATCTCGAGAGGAAAGCCGGATCTACTTCCTCTATCTGAGTCTCTACTTGTTAGCTGTATTGGCATTTAAAAAGTTAGCCTTTATAGACTTGAATTCGATCTTACTCTTTGCATTTTTTTAAAAATTCCTCAGAGTCTTGATTTGCTTTTCTCACCTTCTCGGAAACCCACACCTTGTGTGGTTTGTTTGCGAAGATGGGTGCCAGTGCCAGTGGCGGACTGTACTTCCAGTAGCCAGCAACACTTGCTACTTATTTGCTCGTTGGTGTCTCTCTGGCTATAGCTTGTTTGTTTAATTAAAACACTCGACTTGTAGTTGTCGCTGATGTTGCTGGTTGCTGATGTTGCTGGTGGCTAGTGGCAGGTTGTTGCTGCTTGTTGGTGTCTCATGTCTGCCAACTTTGGTCACAGCTTCCGCCCCAACGACCTCTTTAGTGCATTGAAGCGCAGCCATTCACCGATCGTTCGGGCAGATCTCTCCTCTCAGTTGGTTTCTCACTGATTTCCCAGTTTCTCTGTGCATTCTCAAGTCTTTGGCAAACATGGCCAAGAAAGCCATGACCAGATCTTCAGGACAAGTCCGGTGGAGAGCTTAGACAAACATCATTGAGACTGACTGGCTGGCAGCGTGATTTTGTATAAATTCTAGCATCGGGCCGTGGATGATTGGCAAAAATGGATGCGTTTCCAGGGCGAGTAATAATTTGTTACTCGTAACGAGCTTGTAGCGTCTGAGCTCCTCCACGCTTGTTAACAATTAAATAAACAATATGAGTCTGCACTAAAAACGAGTCGTCGATGGAAACAACAAATCATTAAACAAACACAGTTCCCCGGTCTCTGGTCGATCGTCGAAATACAAACATTTAGCTACCACTCATAGAGTAGAGTTTTCGAGAGTCTGGAACGAGCGATCCATTCGTCACCGCCACTTGAGACATTTTTCTATATTAAAAACAATATTTATGCATTCTGAGTTCTGGATTTTTGTGGCTAGAAGCACGTTTGCTATTATTTCCAGGCCATTTCCCATGAACACAACTCCTACCTATTTGTAGTGGATGGGTGCTGGACCGGCCAAGATCCCACTTGAGGCTGAGGCTTTAATAACCAGAGCAAGTAGTTGGTGGTAGCCACGTTGCTAACGTGGCTTTTTCCATAAAAAAAACAAAAACATTTTCCTTTTCTTGCCGGACTTTCATTTTGGTCACGTTTCTAGCATTTCAATATGATTTTCCTGCGATGTCCGACAAACCAATTAGACCTCTTCCCTTCCGTCCACTGACTGGTATTTGTCGCATTGCTTTTGGCTTACGGCTAATTTTCACTTTAACTTAACTTCCTGTATATCTTTTTAGGAAAGAAAGCCAAGCTCTTTAAAAAGTTTGCTGACTTAACCTTGATTTCCAACCAGCTAGTGGCTCAGATTCATAACCAGCTGGCTGTCACTCGAGTAGGCTTCGAGCACGTTGCGTAATCATTATAGACCGCAGCCGATAGATTCCTCAACCTTATATACCTCACTCGGAGGAACAGTATATAGATAGATAGATGCTTTTTGCTCTGAAATCGATAGCCCAGCTCACGCCTGGCATTGTTTCTCACGATCCGATTGCTGCCCACAATTCGATATTGGATTTCAGACTCGACATTTATTTTTGGCGCTACCCTCGAGTGGTAATCACAACACTTGGGCTTTTCGGGCTCTGGTAGGGCCCCACCCACTGTAGCTGTCCTAGAAACATTTTCCGTGGCGTATTTACTTAATTATTTTGAAGTGCTCGGCAAACATTTTAACACGAAAAATGTTTCAGAGAGCCAGCAACTTTGGGGTTGTATCTGAAATGCGAATGGATGTGGATGTGGCGGTGGAGGTTGTGGGAGGAGGATTGTGATGGACGACAACTAACGCACACAAATGTTATTAATTAAAATGTCATTCATTCAGAAAAACAATGAAACGAAAGGACTTGTGCCCAGCTGAACAAAAGGAGGGTCGCTGGCAGTGTAAACTATTTTGTATTTGCAGCTGTTGTTGACACTTTTCACCAAAAAATAGTTGGAGCTTGGCTCTTCTCTTCTGGCCAAGTAAAGCTTTAAAGCTAAGAGGACCACACGCAGCTGGGCAGCTAAAAACTTGAAACTGAAGCTGGCCACAAAGCCGCAAATATGTATGTCACTTGACACTTGCTAAAAACTGTATCTCGTAGATAAAATTCGTGACTTGGAGCTGCTGGCGAACTAAATTGCCCTTCACTTTATTCCTTCCAGCTTTCAATATTTTTTGGGGGGAACCAGCTGCCGGTTAACTTGACCGCAAACCGCTGCCATCGATATCAGCAGCTGCCAAGACAGTAGTAGCTCCATGGATGAAGAATAAAGAGGTGTCATCTATAAGATACTGGCTGGTTAAGTGGGAGATGAGCAGGACTCTCGATGGGTGGCTCGGCAGCCACCATTTTGACTTTCGATTCAAGTGAGCAATTGTCTTGAATTAATTTCTGGCCCATCACATCCAATCCATCAGCGATTCACACCCTTCGTGGGCTGGCAAAGCAAACACTTTCATCAAGTAGACACTGAAAGAAATAATACCTCCAAAGTACCTCCACTGAATCATTCAATCATGGCATCCCAGTAGTGGTTTTTCTCTCTGCATTAGAGCGATGCGTTTGCCCGCCAGCAGACGCCGTCAAATTTAATAAAAATCAGTGATTTTGATTGATGCGCCTCTTGGTCAGCAGAGAAGTTCGAGAATCATCATCATCATCAGCAGGGACAGCCCTGCAGCGACGTCAGCAAATATTGGCGGAAGGGTTGACACTCGAGGGGGAGGGAAAAACACAACCAGAAGGAATCTGGGGGGGAAGGGGAGTGCCAAGTGCTTGACATGTGACGTGGACATGTCGTCCGAGTGTCGCTCCGTTCAATTGAAACAAATGAAGCGCGAAAGTATCGGAGCCGGAGAGACCAAATAGCCAGAAACAGGAAAGAGCAGTTGCGACTTGTCGCCGCCTCATCAGCGATCCAGATTCCATTCTTCATCCAATCGAGGTTTTCAAATCAGTTGATTTTTGGAACTCGGACAGTCGAAAGCTAAAAATAGGAAGGCATATGTAGGATGTATATCTACCTTTAAGATACTATTATTAAGATCCTTTTAATCCCAAAAACTAACCTTATTATCCTTCCTCTCTCGTTCCAGCTAGGCCATGCCGTTTGTCGAGCGTTGATGATCTGACGCTGAGCTGTGTCTGGAAGAAAACACACTTCGCCGGCTCTCGAGGCGCCTCCACGCAGAGTGGCCAGGTGCAACTGCAGAGTAGGAAGGACATCAGCCCTAGGAAGGCCCCCAACTGGCCTCTAATTCAGCCAAGCAGCTAATTGCAGCAGAAACCCCCACAAACGCACAAAATGAGACACAATCGTCTGAAGGATCTGGGACTGGCGTTGCAGTTCATCCTGATCCTGGCAGCCTGCCGGGCCGATGGACCGCAGCACAGTTCGGACCATGGCATGGGCATGGGAATGGGAGGACATGGATTGGACGCGAGTCCGGCGCCTGGATACGGAGTACCTTCCATTCCCAAGGACCCGACATCGCGATGCGAGGAGATCACCATACCGATGTGCCGCGGCATCGGCTACAACATGACATCCTTCCCGAACGAAATGAACCACGAAACGCAGGACGAGGCCGGCCTGGAGGTGCACCAGTTCTGGCCCCTGGTGGAGATCAAGTGCTCCCCGGATCTCAAGTTCTTCCTGTGCAGCATGTACACTCCCATTTGCCTGGAGGAGTACCACAAGCCCCTGCCCGTCTGCCGCAGCGTCTGCGAACGAGCCCGTTCCGGATGCGCGCCCATCATGCAGCAGTACAGCTTCGAGTGGCCGGAGCGGATGGCCTGCGAGCACCTGCCCATCCACGGGGATCCCGACAACCTTTGCATGGAACAGCCCTCCTACACGGAGGCTGGTAGCGGCAGCTCTGGCGGATCGGGTGGCAGTGGCAGTAGCGGCAGCGGTAGCTCCAAGGGCAAGGGCAAGCAGGGTGGCAGCTCGGGCGGCTCCGGATCCGGCGGATCGGGCGGCTCGGGAACGAGCAACAGGTGCCGCGGACGCAATTCAAAAAACTGCCAAAATCCCCAAGGAGAAAAGGCAAGCGGAAAAGAGTGCAGTTGCTCGTGCCGCTCCCCACTCATCTTCCTGGGGAAGGAGCAGCTCATGCAGCAGCAGTCGCAGTCCCCAATGATGCATCATCCCCACCACTGGTACATGAACCTCACTGTCCAAAGGATCGCCGGCGTTCCAAACTGCGGCATTCCCTGCAAGGGACCGTTCTTCAGCAACGACGAAAAGGACTTCGCCGGCCTCTGGATAGCTCTGTGGTCGGGTCTATGCTTCTGCAGCACCCTTATGACCCTAACCACATTCATCATCGACACCGAAAGGTTTAAGTACCCGGAGCGACCCATTGTCTTCCTCTCGGCCTGCTACTTCATGGTGGCCGTCGGTTACCTCTCGAGGAACTTCCTCCAAAACGAGGAGATCGCCTGCGATGGCCTACTGCTTAGGGAGAGCTCCACCGGACCGCATTCGTGTACCCTGGTCTTCCTGCTGACCTACTTCTTCGGCATGGCCTCCTCCATCTGGTGGGTGATCCTGAGCTTCACCTGGTTCCTGGCCGCCGGCCTGAAGTGGGGCAACGAGGCCATTACCAAGCACTCCCAGTATTTCCACTTGGCCGCCTGGCTCATCCCCACTGTCCAGTCGGTGGCTGTGCTGCTCTTATCCGCCGTCGACGGAGATCCCATTCTGGGCATCTGCTACGTGGGCAACCTCAACCCGGATCACCTGAAGACCTTCGTCCTGGCACCGCTCTTCGTGTACCTCGTCATTGGCACCACCTTCCTGATGGCCGGCTTCGTGTCCCTGTTCAGGATACGCTCGGTGATCAAGCAGCAGGGCGGCGTGGGTGCCGGAGTCAAGGCGGACAAGCTGGAGAAGCTGATGATCCGCATCGGAATCTTCTCAGTACTCTACACGGTCCCAGCCACCATCGTCATCGGCTGCTACCTGTACGAGGCGGCCTACTTCGAGGACTGGATCAAGGCCCTGGCCTGCCCCTGTGCCCAGGTGAAGGGCCCCGGCAAGAAGCCCCTCTACTCTGTGCTGATGCTCAAGTACTTCATGGCCTTGGCGGTGGGCATCACCTCCGGCGTGTGGATCTGGTCGGGCAAGACCCTGGAGAGCTGGCGTCGCTTCTGGCGGAGACTGTTCGGGGCGCCCGATCGCACCGGTGCCAATCAGGCGTTGATTAAGCAACGTCCCCCCATCCCACATCCATATGCCGGCTCCGGAATGGGAATGCCGGTTGGATCGGCGGCTGGATCTCTATTAGCCACTCCGTACACCCAGGCGGGTGGTGCCTCGGTGGCCTCCACCAGCCACCACCACCTGCACCACCATGTTCTCAAGCAGCCAGCGGCCAGCCATGTATGACATGGAGAGTCGGGGGGAGCATCCACCATGGGCGGCGGGGGCGGCGGCAGTACCATCGGCGGCGGCACCCTGGGCGGTGGCAGCATTCTCGGCGGCCACGCCGGCACAGCGATGAGCGGCAGCACGGTCGGCATGGGCGCTCCTCCCGGCACCCTGATTCACGGAGCCAACGGCGGCAATCCCGGCGGCAATGTCTACGGTAATGGCAACGGCGGTGTGGGCGGCGGTGGTCAGAACACCGCTCCCGGTTCGGTTATCGATCAGCGGGCAGTCTCCGTGGTGGTCACCCTACCGGGCGGACCGGGTGCCCAGCATCCGGGGCAGGCGCTGAGCGACTACGGTCCCATATAGTTAATGGTACGCCCGGACACCGCGCACTGGGTCTCGACGAGCAGCTTCAGTCAGCTGTAGCTGCTCTCCTTCCTCGCCAAAGAAGAAGCAGACGAAGAATCGCAAGAATCCCGCGCCCGGCCTCTGTCTCACTTGCACTCTTAGGCTCTCACTCGCACACCTACACCCCTCTCTATCTCTATCGCTGACTCTGTCTCGCATTAGCAAAGGTTTGAAGCCATGCCATATTAATTCATGTAGCCGTAGTTTTTTCAATGAGTGGAAAAGGGTCCTGTTTTTGTGAGAAGAATTCTTCCAGAGCGTGACCATAAACAGGACCTAACAGCATTAGAGATTGTGGTAAAAAAAAGAACCATTCTGCATACAAGATTCTAGTCGAAAAACAAACCTTTGTCTTCAAAAAGCAGATGAGCAAAAGAGCATTAAGTAGTCGTGGCTATAGGGTCTATATTCCAACTCCCCAGCTCCCAGTGCGTTTGTTCCAACTGCCATTAACTGCTTTACTATCTACTTATATTTATGAAGCACCTACATATATTTTTTTTGTTGTTACTACTTTTTCCTTCCACAAATACTTTCCTCCACGAAATAGACTGAGAAATGCATAAACCAATTAAGTAGCCGCCACGTAGACCACTCGGGGGTATCAAAAACAGAAAAAACAAACAAAAAAATACAAAAAATAAAAGTAAAGAAGAGCGGAATCTGCCCACACTGCCAAGTCAGAGCCACGAGCCATATTTCGAAATTACAACTAACTTTTAATCAAACTAACTACACTATTAACCTTAACCTAAACGTAAACATTAAATATTACAAAAGCAAAACGAAAAAAAATAAATAAATAAACACTTCGAATGCCCGTAGAAAGTTAGTTGCGATTTTAGGGTTATCGCATTATCAAAGAACAGGCGGTCAGTGTTGCCAGATACCATTTGTAAATTATTTAATCTATCCTAAGGCATTATCCAACACTAATTTTTGTAAATATTTTCAAAACGCGCCTAGTTTGTAAACGATGTTCAGATGAAACCCTGAAAACTAAAATAGAAATTTAAATATAGTAACTTGCATTTCAGAATCAAAGGCAACTCTGCATTTAAGCTCAAAAATTGAATTTAATTTTTTTATATAAATAAAAATCGAGATCCCAAAATCGAGAAAACACTACCAAAACTTCCTGCCCTTTTCCCCCAATAAAGTGAAGAAAAATGAAATGAAAATTGCCAACTTTTGCAGCCGACGCAGGGCAATTTTTTGCATTTATAAAAGAAGCAAAAAGAAAAAAATTGTATAAAGCTAAAAACACTTATATAAGAGTATTAAATTAAATGTAATCTTAGTTTTAAACGAAGGCAACCAGAAACCCAGAAACACACAAAAACAAACAAAAATGGAAAACGAAAGCAAAACAAAATATCTATCAAGCATTAAAAACTATTGTATTTAAATTTAATATTTATATTACATGGTAAAAGCAACAATTTAACTGTTGGCATTTCAAACCATTTCACATACGAAACAAAACAAAAACGAAGGAAGAACTTTATATTATAAATTATATGATATAGCAACAACTATGTGTGTAATGTTTTTAGCAACTATAACTATTTCTATAAACAAAACGAAAAATATGCGAATGCTGTAATAAAAACAATATACAAAATATTTTCATTTTGATTTTATTTCTTATGGTTTTATTCTTTATTTATTTTTGCATGACAAGTAAGTATTTTTGTTCATTAGCAGGCTTTATTTTGTGATGATTTCTTTTTTAATTTTTAGCATTTACATGAGAATCCCTCGAACACTTATACGTATCATTAAAACGAAGCTCTCCAAGTTAAGCAAACAATGCAGAAAATAAAACCAAAAAAAACGAGTAAACAATTATTAGCAAATTTCTCTACACGACGTACAATGTTTAATAAATATATATATATATTATAAATATTGAACGCAACAACAAAAAAGAAAAAAGAAAACCGAATACAATACAACCATTTACGCGTACTATTTGATGTTGTTAATAAGCTTAAAAAAATATTGCTAGCTAGTAGCGTTTAGTTTAGTTCTCCACGGAAAACGGCAATGCACTTTTCCGACCTTAGTTCGTGGCGTAAATAGCAAACGCTTTTATTTATATATTTAAAAACAAATATTAAAGGCTAACGAGTGTAACGAATATACGTAAATGAGAAACCAAATGAAGGTGGCAAAATGTAAAAAATAATTATTAAACAAAAATGAAAAGATCACTTCAGTTTAAGCAACTCGAAAACATTTTCCGTTGATTTTTTGTGATTGAAAATTTATTTACTAAATTGATGAAAACAGAAATTGATTGCAATTTGCGAATGTATACGATTTTTTAATTTTAAATGATGGAAGAAACGAAAATATTTCATAATGGGAGTGGATTTTAGATTGATAGGAAGGATGGATGGATTGATGGATAGAACGATTTACGGTGATTGATGGATTAGTTGAAGTTACACGGAAACCAGAAACTTGACGTCAAGTGTAGTTGTGAATTGTATTTTGTGAAATGTAATTTAATAATAAAATAAATGAAAACCAAAAGCAAATTATATATACAATGCATATTTATGTGGATCCAGAGAGACGCAGATGAACTGGCAAGAGAATACTTTAATGAAAATTCATGCAGACATTATTTTATTTACAAACGAAATGCATTTTAAAGATATAAAATCTAAATCAAAAACAAAATGGAAAACGATACAATGTTGTTGATTGTGAAACGATTTTAAAGCTCACACAAGCCCGAGTCAAGAATCAAATTCGTTACCAACAACACCAGAATATACGAAAACAAAAAACAACAGCAACAACAATAATATTAAATACATTTGTAATTGAAAAAGAAAAACCATTTAAAATAAAATTTAACAACATAAAACGTCCACTTTATTTTTATGGGAAATGGGCATGGACTCTGCCATCAGTTGATTGCCTAAATGGTCAATCAACGCCTGGCCAATGGATGCCGAACTGGCCACCCGCTGTGAAAGGAATGGTCCTTTAAAATGGAACCATTAAAATACTTTTTTTCGATTTCATCCAGACTTTGACTTATTTTCGTTGTTTTGAACCGCTTTGTACCGTTGTGCTAACAGTGCAAAGCTTTACAGAGCTCTGTTAGTCAAACTGTTAGACTCATGAAGTGCCATCTTTAGAAAAAATGGTTCATGGAAAATATTTAGCATAGTTCACAACCGGATGCCACAGAAATATAAGACAATTTTATTTTACAAACGTTGCGAAAACATACTTTTAAAAGGCCTTACTTGCCCAATAGCAGGTTTTTATTCAGATTAAAGACTTGCAGATTGATATTCGAGACTTGCAACATATTCGCCACAGAAAATGCCCAATACCGCAGATGAAGTAGAATTAGAGTTTCAGGTCCTGGAAACTTCAAATTAATAACCTCCCAAACTCATTTCTTATATTACTTTCTCTGCTACTTTTAGTTTACAATTCGACCTATTTTGCAGGTCCCAACTCTCGACCGATTCTCAAGCGGAGTACCTTTAACGATTTGTGGATCGATTTCCCACCATTCTACATCAAAACACTGAGACAAAATATTTTTTAGATTTTTTGTTCATTTTTCGTGATGGAATCCCTTGAAAATGGGCCCCCCCATAGGGTCCACAGTGATGGCTACATATATCTCCCCCAATTCTCATCCTATTTTTGAGCGAAGTACCTTAAACGATTTCTAGATCGATTCTCCACCAATCTGCATCGAAATCCTAAGACAAAATATTTTTTAGTTTTTTTGTCCATTTTTCTAGAGGGGATCCCTTGAAAATGTGGCTGTATCTTCCCCAATTCTCATCCGATTCTCAAGCGGAGTACCTTAAACGATTTGTGGATCGCTTTCCCACCATTCTACATCAAAACCCTGAGACAAAATATTTTTGACATTTTTTGTCCTTTTTTCGTGGAGGATCCCCTCAAAAGGGGCTTTTTTCCTATGGGGTCCACAGTGATGGCTATATCTTCTCCAATTCTCATCCGATTCTCAATCGGAGTACCTTAAACGATTTGTGGATCGATTTCCCACCATTCTGCATCAAAATCCCGACACAAAATATTTTTTAAATTTTTTGTCCATTTTTCGTGAGGGGATCCCTTGAAATGGGGTTTTCCCCTATAGGGTCCACAGTGATGGCTATATCTTTCCCAATTCTCATCCGATTCTCAAGCGGAGTACCTTAAACGTTTTGTGGATCGATTTCCCACCATTCTGCATCAAAATCCCGATACAAAATATTTTTTAAATTTTTTGTCCATTTTTCGTGAGGGGATCCCTTGAAAATGGGGTTTTCCCCTATAGGGTCCACAGTGATGGCTATATCTTTCCCAATTCTCATCCGATTCTCAAGCGGAGTACCTTAAACGTTTTGTGGATCGATTTCCCACCATTCTGCATCAAAATCCCGATACAAATTATTTTTTACATTTTTTGTCCATTTTTCGTGAGGGGATCCCTTGAAATGGGGTTTTCCCCTATAGGGTCCACAGTGATGGCTATATCTTTCCCAATTCTCATCCGATTCTCAAGCGGAGTACCTTAAACGTTTTGTGGATCGATTTCCCACCATTCTGCATCAAAATCCCGATACAAATTATTTTTTACATTTTTTGTCCATTTTTCGTGAGGGGATCCCTTGAAATGGGGTTTTCCCCTATAGGGTCAGTGATGGCTATATCTTTCCCAATTCTCATCCGATTCTCAAGCGGAGTACCTTAAACGTTTTGTGGATCGATTTCCCACCATTCTGCATCAAAATCCCGATACAAATTATTTTTTACATTTTTTGTCCATTTTTCGTGAGGGGATCCCTTGAAATGGGGTTTTCCCCTATAGGGTCAGTGATGGCTATATCTTTCCCAATTCTCATCCGATTCTCAAGCGGAGTACCTTAAACGTTTTGTGGATCGATTTCCCACCATTCTGCATCAAAATCCCGATACAACATATTTTTTAAATTTTTTGTCCATTTTTCGTGAGGGGATCCCTTGAAAATGGGGTTTTCCCCTATAGGCTCCACAGTGATGGCTATATCTTTCCCAATTCTCATCCGATTCTCAAGCGGAGTACCTTAAACGATTTGTGGATCGATTTACCACTATTCTGCATCAAAATCCCGATACAAAATATTTTTTAAAATTTTTGTCCATTTTTCGTGAGGGGATCCCTTGAAATGGGGTTTTCCCCTATAGGGTCCACAGTGATGGCTATATCTTTCCCAATTCTCATCCGATTCTCAAGCGGAGTACCTTAAACGTTTTGTGGATCGATTTCCCACCATTCTGCATCAAAATCCCGATACAAAATATTTTTTAAATTTTTTGTCCATTTTTCGTGAGGGGATCCCTTGGAAATGGGGTACACTGGGCCAAAACTGTGGGACATAATTAGTTTTAAATTTTTCCAGTGTGCAAATCTTTTTCCACAAGGCTTGTAGTCATGTCCTTTAGCATATTTAACCACCGAACTTTTCTTTAAGCTTTTAAAGCTTGTTTTGCTTTCAAAATTGTTTTAAACGTTAAATTTTAAAATAAATTGGGCTTAGAAGGTTATTAGTAAATATTCGTTTTGGCAAAATGGTACGTTAAATATTAAACTATATATACATATGTATATGTTTTTCTCATGTTGCAGATACAGAAATATACTTGAAACATTTCACATAAGGCTTAACGATTACCCCAAAATTATAAAAGCAATACCATTATTTCGCAAAAAATCATATTGCAAGCTTATATTGCTAAAGAAAAAGTGGCTCAAATTGCAATTCATCATAATTTTGGCCACGAAAAAACTTGCCAAATATGGCCAAAATGCAATTATTGCAATTATTTTTCAATTATAGACTTCCATTGTTGTCGGACACTTCGCGAGGGCCAAGCCCTTCATGTCCTTGCAGAAGTATTAGGAACACGAAATTTCGCCTGCCCTGCCAGACGAACATAATGGTGTGGTTGTGTGTGTGTTTATGCGAATTATAGTTATATCTACTTACAGAACTTATTTTTAGTGCCAGCTGAGCGGAGTGCAGCCAAATAGCTCTGATGACCTTACATGCATAAATATTTCAGCCGACTTTAGCTTTCCTTGTTGCCATTTTCAAGAGCAAGGCAAGGTCCTTGCTGCTGCTGCTGGTGCTGGTGCTGCCAACGATGGAAGGACAACAGTTGTATCCCACAATCCCCCCCACTAAGCTTGCTTCCCCTGGTGCCAACTGGTCAACAGGTTGCAAATAAGCGCATTTGAAACTTTTTGAAACTTTTTAGCAAAAAACCAAAAACTAGTGACTACTCATAGCCCAGCCCTAGCCACTAAAACCACCCACTGCCACCCTATGCCGTGGCCATGAAAATTCAATTAGTAGACCAGGCGCTAATTAATAGCAAATTGAAAGCTTTCCACTTGTTGAGAAAGGTTTTTTTCGAAAATGCCACACGGCCATTGTCCAGGCAAAAAAACACACACGCCTCACGTGCTAAAAAGCTCCGCACGTGTCCTGCCGCACACGTCTTGAAGCAACCATGCCGAGTGGAAGGGGGCATGCCACAAAGGGGCTGGCAAAAGCTTTCACTGCCAATAGCAACAGCGTGCCCCAAACACGAGCTCCCCAAGCTTTGGCCGACTCCAATAGGAATTTTGGCCAACAGTTTGTTGCTCAAGCTGTTCCCGAACGGACGTCTCATCCAGAATTGTTTGTTCCCAACAGTGATATTCGGACATTGATTCGGATTCGGCCACTAGTTCCTTTTTAACCAAAAAAAATATATATAAATAAATATTATAAAAAATATAAATAACAGAAACATTGGTGGGGAGGTGCTCCCGTTAAACGAAAAGTAAAAATAAAGGAGTGGTGCGGAGTTTGTTGAAATTTTTGTGGTGTTTTTCGAGTAAAACTTAAGTTCTTGTGCATGTTCGTGTGTGTGTGTGAGTGTGAGTGTCTAAATATTTAAATAACACAACGGGAAAAAAATTAAACAAACAAACACCATAAAAGCGCCAGTAAAACAAGGATAAGGGAGTGAACCAGAAAGTGTAGTCTACTTTTTAGGGAGCAGGCAAACTTAGGGCTAGGCTAAGTCGGCCAACCTGCTAGTGGTTGCCAGTTACCAGCCAGCAGAACCAAGATATGTTGGAACATGCAAAGCCAACATTAGATTGTGTCAGCCAAAGTGACTTTAAGTGGCAGGCCAAGACGGGTACATGACCAGCAGATTAGCTGGCTTTAAAGGTCTTAGGTCAGTTACCCAACCAGTTACCAGAGTTACCATTTTCCAGCCCAATGCATTTCCCACCCAAAGGACGCCAGTCCGGGCCACTTAATTAACACAGCACATTAACTTGTGCAAGTCGGGAGGCCAAAAGGCAGGCTGAAGTAGTTTCAACAGGGCCTAAATCAAAGGGAATTCTCGAGCAGATTCTTGGCAACTGTTTTAATTTGGACAAAAATTCGTAACAACTTAATCAAACAAGACGGAAATAACTTAATTTTCAAAGATTTCTCAAGAAGCTTTGTTTGCTTAAAAAAATTCAAAAGTTAGGGGGACGAAATATAATTTTTTTAAGGTATATACCAATACATAGTCTTAGGATTTATTCAGCTTAAAAGTAGGATTTAATAAATAAAGTTACTGTCCTTAAACTTTTTAATAAAATGCAAAAAAAGCTTAATTTTAAGAAAATTAATTCTAATAGGCTATATTTTATTGTATTTCTAATTTTAATAATAAAGTTCAAAGACATATTTTAGATAGCATTTACATTTTAAGATTCATTTATAGAAACTTCTATAAACCTATTAGAAGCACAAGTGCTAATTTTTTTTTATTAAATCATCAAGTTAAAAAGCAACCAAACCTTTATAGAACTAATTTTTTCATAACTATTTTAAATAAATAGTTTTTTAATGCTATTTTTTGTTTTAAAAGCTTTCAGTTTTATATAAACTTTATTATCCAGATGTTATCTTTTTCACTCATCACCCATCAGCTATGAAATAATCCGAGCGATTAAAGAGTTCCGCATCGTTTTATTTTATTAGCATATGAACAGAAAACGGAAAACTGCCAAGTCAGCATTGATTCGAGGTCATAATCCAAAAAAAACAAAAAGTTAAAATAAAAAAAGAATAAGGACCAAAGAACCAACAAAACAGACCCTGTGACTCTGGACTCCTTTTGACTGGGCGACTCTCGGTGGAAATTGTATGGTAGAAAGTTGGTGAGATGGCCCCCAAGGCTCGGGCTGCTCGGGCTGCCATTCACATAGCTATTCGCAGTTTTGTTAAGAGTTTAGCGCGAACATTTTGGGCGAAGCGCTCAAAGTGGAGCCAAGGGCTAAATCGTCCAAGGCTATCTGCATTTCAAATGACCAACGCAACAATGAAGGCTGAAAATCAACAAAAGAGGAGTGCCAGTGCCCCTAAAAACAAAACAAAACATCAGCAGAGACAATAACAGAGAAGAGCCAACTGAGAATTGTCGCATATGCAAGGGTGGGGCTAACACACACACCCACACACACACTCATGCCCACGAAAGGACTAGGAAAGGGAGACAGGGGGCAGCAGGCTACTTAAAAACAGCACACACATGACGTCATTAAGAATATTAAATGAGTTTACAGCGCGTTTGTTATTGCACTTCAAAAAAAGTTAGTTAAAAGTATAGTTTTTTTTAAATAGAAAAATAAATAAAATCCTCCCTTATATCGGCTTTTTTTAGAAATTAAATTAATACCCAAACTAAGTCTATAAAACTGTCTACTAATTATTTCTCTGAGTGTTCAATTGCATGGCGTTTAGAGATGAGCAGCAAAACGGTAAAAGGCCATTAACAAACGCCTAATGGCGCACTTGAGACACTGCGCAGCCAGAGGGGCGTGGCTAGTGGGGGCGGGGGGCCATACCATATGATGATAGGGTTAGGCCAAATGCTGATAATGCGAATAGATCTGCGGTTACCACCCAGAAAGGTTGGGGGTCCTTAAGCCCAGTCTCATTATGCTTTTTGCTCATTTTGCTGGGAAATTGAAGTTTTAAATATTTATTCAACTGCAAGGAAGAAATCACATAATCCATGAAATTGTGTCGCGGTCATATACAACAAACCCAAATTAAAATGAAGCGTCTAATGCACATGCCATGCCCGAGTATGTGAAATGATCAACCGAAGGGCAATTTATCAGCATCCCCGAAGTGTACTGCAAAAAGTGTAAAAATAAACAAACAACCAGCAACTAACAAGCAAACAACAGCAATAACAATTTGTCAAGTACACACGTACACGTCCTACACCTACCTGGCTAACAAACACACTAGCACATACATATAACACATCCCAAAAAAAAAACACACAAAACAGGTGAAAAAAAAAAATCAAAAAAGGCCAGGAGTGGGAGAAATCGCGAGCGTTTTTAAACGCCTGAGAGCAACAAACAAAGGATTATAGCCATGGCCAGAATCCTGGGCCCGGAGCTGGCGATGGTGGAGCCTGCGAAATGGTGAGTTGATGGGTGACATTAGCAACATTTATCAAGGAAGAGGTTTTTGTCGCTTGATTGTTATGCAATTTGATAAATTTTAATATTTTTCAAGCCAAACACTTTTAAGATCTATGCTTAAGAAAACACTTAGGTTGATGAACCTAAAATGTTTCATTTTTAAGCAAAATTGAAAAATATTCCCTACCAAAAAGCCGAACATACTCGGCTCCTTTTAACCAATCAATATTATCGAGTTAGCAAACGCGAAATGCAAGGAGTATCTGTACCTGTGTGAGTGCCAGCGCGAGCTAGTGTTGGTGAGCCCGAAAAAGCACGTGGAGTTTATAAAATATGCAAAGCAATACATATTTGAGCAGTCAGGAAGAGGAGAGACCTCCAGCTCATCCGAGCAAAAGATGAACATGTCGAAGCCGACGGCCATTGCTTTTGTTTTTTATCCTCAAACATACACACGTGGACTACAGAATGTGTGGTGTGTGAGTGTATGGATCTCCGTATCCGTATCCGTATTCTATATAAAATAATGCTTCAGCTAAAGAATCCATTCCAACAATGCAAAAAATCAGCAGAGAGTAAAGTGCTCTTGGGTGAGCCAGGTCGGGCAAGGATAATGAAATAATAATCTGTATCACCGGTAAACAACCATTAACTAAATGGCCGGATTAGGCCAGAAGATGCTTTGATGAGCTTAATGGAGTTGCGGGATAAATGATGAGCTGGAAATATGCCACTTAAGTGCTTTGAAGTGATTTTGAATAGACGCTTAACGTTGGGAATTTGCTATTTGACATTTTCTGACAGGCTGTAGGCAGTCCATTTGAAGTTTTTCCTTTGAAATGGCAGAATGAAGGTATTTTATTGTTTACCTGATTGTGAGTGTTGTTTTAATTAAAATATTGAAGACTGCTTTAGGGTTTCTGACTTAAAATTTTGCCAAAAACTCAAGAGTTATTTCCTCAAGGCATAAATAACTAAGATTCTTAAAAGTTAGTCAAAAGGAAATAAGTATTTTTTGCCTAACAGTTTGTTAGTTTTTTCTTTTTTTTTCTTTTATCCAAAATCTTTATATATTACTCCTTATATTTCATAAAATTAAAAAATTTAAAATATTTAGCTCCCGTCATTTAATACCATTTTCATAAGCCAAGATTTACATAAATATGCCACGCTTATGGAGGGCCCTCCTGTTCTTCTATTGCCATTCAACAAAAACAATATAATGCCCTGATAACAGACAACAAGTAAATATTTGCATTCAACAGATTTTATTTGAATACACATTCAAATTCCTTCACCCATAAATCCGCTGCCATTGTGGCATTTAAATCTATAAGGCAGACGTAAACAAGCCGAAAGGACTCTCATTGTTCGGCAAGTGACAGGCTGGAGACACGGGGAAATCTGATACCAAAAAATGTCGAATTTATGCAACAGAGCCGTCTCAGTGCCTCACTTTTTTTTTTCATTTTGGCTAAAAATAGCTGCAGGGCCTAAATAGCAAGAGCCGCAAGAATGAATGCTTAAGGAAGCCTTTGTGCGGGCCATGGAGTTGTAATTAAAAGGAAATCCATATTCATTTCGTGTAAGCAGTCGCAGCAAAAAGTGTGGCATGCACGGCGAAGGACGAAGGACGTTGATGGAAGTGAGGTAATGGGGAAATGGCGAAATGGGGTAACAGGGCGTAAGGGGTCTCGAGTGTGGCATGTCCCTTTGTGTATTTGTCAGTCTGCCCGAAACGACACTGAAGAATGCTGACAGGAGCATTCCTGGTCCCTGCTTTCTCGTACTTTTCCGCCAGGAGAGATGCGAACGTGATTCCAAAAGCCACATAATCTTGGCCCACTACAAGAAAATCTCTTGCCAGGATAACGAGCTTTGTCTGATAAACATTTTATACAAAATAAAATAAGGGCCTGAATAAACGTTTAATACCTCTTAGTAACCTCTTAGTAACCCCTATGTCTAATTATAATTTTTAAAAGTGTAGAAAAAAGGTTGGAGCTGGAAGCATTGGCGGCTCCTTGACGACCTTCATGCTATCTCCAGTGTACGACCCGGTTGCATATTTGCTTTCGCTCGAAAGGATCAGGGTCTGTCGGGGGTCTGCTGTGGACTACTGTCGGCCTATTTTGTGGCCGCCACTTTGCATGTTGCTAACAATTTTCCAGAGCAGCCGGGACTGGCTGCCATTTAGTGGCACACAGCAAAGCGGCAAAATGTTCGTGCGACTAATTTGTGAAAAAAATAACAAAAAAAAATATATGAAAAAAGGAAAAGAGGGAAAGAGGGAAAGCCCAAGCCCGGCCAAGCAAAAACAACAAAATCAACTGGCACGAGACGTTAAAATCAACGGTCCGTGTCCATTAAAACGGGGCAAGGCAAGGCAGCAGGAAAAACACTAGCCAAGGAAAACAGCACAACTCTCTGAATTCCTGTTAATGAGAAATAATCAGAAAAAAAGGGAAAAATACGGCTGAATGAGGCAGCTAAAATTAACAAACTGTGGCACACTTAATGCCACCCACGTGGCAGCGTGTGAACCAGTTGGCTATACGAGTATCCGAGTAAGTGTACAAAAAATATACATATCGGGTATGTGGTACACAAAATCGGTAAACACACAAAGCTAATAAAAAACTGTAAAATATTCAACAATTGGCAAAGCTTTTAAGAGTCTGAAAGACGCCCCTGATATTGAAATGTAAACCTCGCAATTTTCCGCCACCCCGCCATTTGCGAGCGCCAAAAAATATGCTACACATAACGCCGCAAAATGAAAACGATGGGGAAGTGATAAAATGGGAAGGAGATAAATAAGTGGTGCATGTTGAATAAAAAGAACAGAAAAATATGGATGAAGGATACATTACGGCTGCGTACGAAAATGTTTTCATAAACTTTAAGCCAGGGAAGGACTTTAAGGCAGGGGAGACGAAAAAGATAAATGTGGGTCCAAATTAGAAAATTATAAAAGTTATAATTGAACCATTTTAATTGGATTATTATGCCAGAAGTTTGAGACATTAAATGAGTTTTCCCCTTTTCTAAAAAGGATATTCCTCCAAGACAATAGTCCTTGTTAATAGTCCTTATTTATTAATGACAATCATACTATAATAACTTGATAAAATACTCCTTTCTATTACTAAGAAATGGTCATTAAAAGTCCATTAATAAAATAAATCATTGCCTTTTGACAAGAATAGATTATAAGTTCTATTAAACACTTCTGTTTAGTTCAAGATATTGGTAGTTGCTTTAAATACTTACCTGACCATCAATCACAGCGAAATCCTCACCTAAACGGTTTAAAAGATAATCTTTATTGCGAAGGCCACGCCGAAGTAGACTCATTTATAAATAGACGACTCCTAAGCGTGCCCTTCGTGGAGGATATAGCCGGGATTTTTTGCCATAAATTACGCACCACGAACAATACACCTGCACTCGCTCACGCACACCACAAAAAAAAACAAGTGGCTTTGGGTAATTCCACGCTTTCATAATAATAAGCATAAAGGATAACCACAACAAAGCCCGGCAAGCCAGAGTCCTGGAAGTTGGGGCATCTTCTTACAGAATATGCATAAAATTATGATCTTACAAAATTACAAATTAATTGAAACGAATGGGTGGTACAAGTGGGGATACAGGCAAACTTTTTGCAGTAAATGCAAAGCCAACAGGCAACAGAAACGGAGCCAACTGACAAACAAACTAACAAACAAAACGTAAACATTTCAATTATGTCGCTGCGGTTGCCTGAAACTTTTTTTTCGTGCTAATTAAGCTCAATGGGTGCTCTGAGCTCTGGGCTGGGTGCTCCAGTAATTAGCTGGCAAAAGTCTAAACAAAGCCAGAAACTCGAAAACAAATGAGCCAAAGGAAAAGGAAGAGCCGAAGCAGCCAGAGTGCCTGGCACAGAGCAGCGAACAATGGCAGCAGGCCATTTCCGGTCTGTTCATGTGTGCTGTCGCTTTCAGCGCCAGGGGGCGCTTGAGTGCTCACTTCCTATGCGGATACCCTAGCAAGGATTTTTCAAAGAAAAGTTTGTATAACTTGGGAAACTTTTGATTTAATTAAATTTCTATTTGTTTTTTAATATTGTTTGTCTGTTTTTAGATTTCCTAAGTTTAAGATATATTTATATTAAATTGTGTCCTCCAGGATAAGGAACTTCACGATCAGTACTTTGTCTCTGTTATTTAATAATTAATATATAAAAGAGTATTATTATTTCCGGCTCTTGCAGCAAAATACCCTTTTTCATGGTTGTGTGGGCTCTTGTATGCCTGCGTTGGTGTATTTGTATTTATGTGTTGGTGTTTGTGTTCGAGTGGGCGTTGCAGCAACAGTTTGTTGCTTTGTTTGGCTTCTTGTTTGCCAAGACAACGACACGCTTATAAATTTTTAATTAAATTGTTGTTTTGTAGTTCGTCGCCGTCGTCGTACCCGTTGCCATTGTTTTTGTTTCTGTTTTATCTAGTCACAGGAAAACGCATTGATTGTCCCCTCACACGTGTTCCTGTGTGAGGGTGTGTGTGTTTTGATGGTTATATCCTTTGTTTAGAATTGGGTTGTTATGTTCTTGTGTTTGTGCAATTGCCTGTCCATATCCGATAGCTTCTCCGGGGAAAATTGAGTTGTTTAACTTGCAATTGAACTGGGCCAAACAGGATCAAGTGGAGGAAGTTAGCTGAACGCAATCGGATTTTATTTCTTTACTTTAATTGTCCTTTTAATAGAGAACTATTCTATTTTTATACAATTTTTATAAGAGGATTTTAAAGGAATATATAATAAATCTCTAAAAGTGTGATCATTTTTCACTTCTTATGGCAACAAAATCACTAACCCTGTTAGAGTTCATCCCTTTAGCACGCAAGTAGTTCATTTATCCTCTGTACACATGTCTAGACCATTAATATCCAATTTATTATGTATTCCCTATCAGAGCTCAACGAAATGCTGAAGCCAAAACCCCATTGAGACCATTTACATGTCTGAACAATTTTTTTTCTTACCATTTTTTTTTGTGTTGGTTAGAGCTTTCCTATGACAAATTAACTTATTTAGTTGCGGCAGCAGCGGACCGTCATACGAAATAATTTATCAAATTCCTATATAAATTATTGATGTCCTCACACAACGACTGTACTGTGAGTGGGTGCATGTGTGAGTTTGTTTAAGTGCTGGGATAACGCCCACACACTATTTACTGGGTCTTGCCGGTGCAAGGAGAATGAATAAAAATTGTTGTCAGGCGTAGGCGTTGTGCCAAATGCCAATCACGGGCATTAAGTCGATGGAAATGGGAAGCCACGTGAGCTGGGCGGTGGGAGGCGGCCATAAGTGGGAGGCATAAAGAGCATTAGAGTGCTGGAGAACCAACGGTTCGAGCCATAACTGAAAGCCAGGCCAAAATGATAAATGACAGTGCAGTCCAGGCCTCTCAAAATTAACATAATTTTCTCCTTTTAATTGCCTGACGGACAGAGTACAAACTGTGAACAATTTCAAATGCTTTTTCTTAGATTTAGCTTAATATTTCTATTTAATTCTCTAGTCTTTTTAGCCAATGTCTTTGTCTAGATTCTAGATCAACTGCTTATAGTAGGTAATATTATTAATAATATTAATTAATCCCTCTTAATCCTTAAATTTTTCTCAGTGCACAGAGAAAAAGCCAAAAGCTACTGCCACCTTTCGTGGCTCGTTGGTGGGTCGAGTTATTTGCTTTAGTGGTGCCGGTTGGGTGTTGCTCCTGTGGTGTCGTTGCCACTGCCGTGGCTTCGTAGCCGGTGCCGGGTAATTTTGCATGCAAATAACTGGAAATTAGTGTAAGTGCTCACTGACATGCCATATAGTACACAGGACGCCAAAGGTATAGCCAAAGCCAGTGCTTCTGTCTCGGTTAGAGCTCTTAGCTTCTGGCTCCTGGCTCCTGGGTCCTGACTTCTCACTCCGCCCCGTAGATTGTCGAGTCCGGGATGCCTTTCCCAGGACATAGCTTCCAGCTAGGTGAGCAGCCCAAGGAAAACGCAAAGCCAATACTAGCAGCGGAGATAAACAGACGATGGCGGAATAAAGTGGCAAACACTTAGGCAAACGACTTGGCACTGAAAAAATAATAATAAAATAAATAATAAATAATATTATTAATAGACTAGATTTAAATTTAGATAGACTTAAAGGCTAGACTTAATATTGGAAAGTACTAAATTTTTTAAAAGGAAAACTTCCAAGAAAGTTTAAAAAGGAAGACAGTGCTCCTATAATTTTTGGGACTATAATTTTCTTGCCGTGTTGAAATGCGTCGAGTGCAAAGCTGCATGTGGGCGTTGTATGGCAGCATATCTAAATCGCCTTCTTTGCTCTCCTCTCCTCCACCACCTCTCCATCGTCCTGGCTGCCTCGTTGTCCTGGAACATCGGCGCTTTAAAAACCCATTAAAATGCAATGAGCGCACAAACGTTTTTTGCCACGAACTGAACCGAGCTGAGCTCTGACTTAAAACTGCTGCCGGTTAACTCACTTGAAATGGAATAATAGTTACAAACATATTTTCATGGATATTTAGTTGGCGTAATTATAAAACTAATTAAAGTTATTACGATAGTGTGAAAGGATTATACTTTTGTATACCGATTTTAGATTAAAATTTCAATTAGATATGATATAATAATTATAGAACAAAAACCATAAAATAGAAAATTAAACCATGTCGCGGTTAAATAATAGCATTAACCAAGTATCCATACAGTAGGGGTGAGGAGAAGTAATTTATGAAGGCTTTTATGAAGACTATTAGGATTAATATTTAATATTAAAACAAAAGACCCAATTATTTTGTTATTTTCTCAATTTTTAAAGCAAGAGACCGTAGACTCTCTCGAAAAAATAAGAAAGAGCATTAACAAGTCGATTAAAACACTTTATAAACTGAACCATGAAATTAGAAGTGTAACAAATACAATTAAACTTAAAAATTATATCAATAACAACCAAGCCGATTACTATAAAGTCCCAGTTTTGTTTTGAAAATGGCCAAGAGGGCTTTACTTTGTTTTAGCCTGTTGCTGTTGGCTGAGGAGCTAGTGACGTTTAGATTTGAAGTGGAACTAATTAAACAGCTCAGCCTGAAGGACAAAAGCCCCAACTGCCTGGTGTCCCCTTTTCAGGTGGCCCAATCCCTGTCCTTTTTGTACCTTGGAAAGGATGGTCGAAAGGACTACACACTGGCCAAGGCCCTGCAAATAGTCGGACGGGGCCATGACAAGATCATGTCCTATTTTAGAGAAACCCAGCAAAAAGCCCTCGCCCAAAATTTCGTGATAGCGAATAGAGTTTTTTTCAAATCCGATTTTAAAATACCGAGTTATATGAAGAGTATAAGTGAAAACATTAGCGTGGAAGTGGAGAATATAAGTTTTGACAATGCCACGAAAGCTGGTGCTGAAATCAAAAAGTGGTTTTCAAAAGTGGTGGCCAAAAGCAGCAAACTCTTCGGCAAGGATCATTTGAATAACATCACCCAAATGGTGGCCGTGCAGGGATTATCGGTGACTACAACGTGGAAGTATCGTTTTATATCGCAGTCTAAGAGAACCTTTTTAATCGAAAGGCCCGAAATGAAGCCGCTCCAGCAAAAAGTAGCCATGATGTACACTTTGGCTAAATTTGAGTCCTTCAACAACGAGGAGGTACATGGTATATTCATTCCATTTTCCAATACAGATATTGGCCTGCTCATCCTGATTCCCAAACAACATATCACCACCTTGAATGTGATCCAGCAATTGGAAAAGTATCTTTTGTTGAAAATGAGAAAAGCCCAAGAAACGCATTTCTTTCTTCCCATGTTCAATATTCAGGAAAGTATGGATCTGAATGGCATTCTGGAGACAATGGGAATCAAGAAGATTTTTAGTTCTTTAAATAATCCTAGTTCTTTGAATAATAATCCTACAAATGAATCTAAAACGACGCATTTTGAACAACTGAGCATATTTTCTGTGAAACCAAATCGTTTATTGTGTGAGTTGTTCATTTAATTCCAAACTAAATTAATGCATATGCAAGAGTTTCAACTTTTGTTCCTGCCTCTGCATACTTTAGTTTAAAATATTGCCTTTAAAAGGGATTATATCTTATCTCAGTAAATCACTAAAAACTGTTCACTTTTAGTGGAATCTGAATATGCAAGCGAAGGCGACCAGAAAACCTTCGAGGTCAACCGACCATTTGTGTTCGTTATCAAGGATCAGAGGACGATTTACATGGCTGGGCGCGTGGACTCCATTGACGACCTGAACAAACGGCCTTAGTTGCTGGAATTTTTGTCGGTTAAATGTCGGTTGAATTGTAAATTAAATTAGCTTGTATTAAGGCAAACGTAAAGCGCTAAGCACAGAAAGAAGTCTTGTTGTTTATCCCGGCCATTAGTGAGGGCGGTTGTCGGTTGTCGGTTGATTACCGGGGTTTTCCCTCAAATTCCCCAATGGCATTGTTTACAACGTTGCCGCGCATATTAATTGCCTGATTAGGGAAATTTAAGTCACACAAAACATCAGGCTGCAACCACATTGGGCTGCTTTTCCAGCTCGTTTTCCATTACTTTTTTCTCTCTCTGTATATGTGCCTTGCGGCACATTCCGCAATTACTCGCAATTTGTGGCGGCAACGAAGCCAAATGCTGACAATTGCATCATGGCGAGCCAGGAGCGGCGGTGACCCTTCTTGCCGAACTGCAATTGCATAAATTATAAAGCCAGGCCACCGAACACCGAGCAGCAGGCACCATCGTTGATTTCCCACAAAACCCCGAGGTGGTGACACAAAGACGTCGTCCTCTAAGTGCACTAACTTCCTCTGCTGGATACCGAAAAGGATGTGAATGCGGGCCAGGACGGTACAAAGTGGCAAGTCAGCAGGCAGTCTCCTGGCACTGATTTTGTGTTGGCTGCCACAAATGTTGAAGGTAGAATAAATGCAGTCTCCAAGTGCAGCCATCAATTATTCAACTTCCTGGTCGAAACTCGGTCGACACTGGGTCATCAAAAATTAACCGGAAACCAAAAAACAAGTAATTTATATAAATTATTTAAAACGGTTAGATAAATGTGGGACCCAGAAAACCGCAAGTACTTTAAACCAGTAGTGCAATCTCCCATTAAAATTGGCTGGAAAAAAATCTGTTTAATTGTGTGACAACAGCTTTTGTTGTGTGACTACCTAATGCATCCATAAGTTATTAAAATGTTTTAGCCAACTATGTCTGTGGAGGGCAATTAACCTCGTATATAATGCCAATGCTTTTACGGGTCTTGTAAACTCCGGAACAACATGGTGTATCGCTCATACGCTCCGTTGGCCTCCCAATCACAACAAACTTGCATGTTCCCGGGGCTCGGACTTTTATTGGTTAAAATAAAAACCGATGGCGCCCATGGTTCACATAGCCCGTCCAGCAATGAGAGCAATGTGCGAGTTGGGTAGAGGGCTTCTGGACTGAGTGCAACCACGTAGAGCTTATAAAATGCAACAGAGTGCAGCGGCCATGTCGACAAATGACGTTCTTATTGGCAGCGACAGCGACATCGGCATTCACGGAATTTTCAAATGAAAATTGCCCAGTCCAGATCCTGAATGGCAGGAGGAGTAAGGCGGTTAAAGGCAAATTGCTTAACAAAGGCAAAGGTCACTCACATCCACTATAAAGTTAGGAGAGTAAAAATAAAAACCAGTGAGTATCCTGTATTTATTTTTTAGCAAGGTCAAATCCCTGAATATCCTTAATAAAATCACAAACGTAGTGGTAAGAGGAAATCCCTCTCGAAATGTCTTACCAAGACTAACAATCTTTGGAGTAAAAGTCGTGCCAAAAGTCAAATAATCAACGAATCGACAAACTTTTATGAGAACAAATGGAAACAATTATCGGAGAGACAGGGTATCCCAACTTGTTCGCTTTGTTCTCGTACTTCAACTTTATCCTTGTGCCTTCTAGAATCCTTCTATTGCAAAAAAGACAAAAAAAGCAAGAAAAGTTAAACTCACTTAATTGAATTGAATGGCAGAGAGCGACGTCAATGAGAGATGATGATGGAGGCAGAGTGCACTCGAGTGCAATTTATTCAGAAAGACGGCAATATGGCAAATGGATTCTACTCTCCACAATGCCTTTGATTATGACCCGATTGCACTTGGCCAGAAGCACAGAAAACAGGGCCAAAGGACGAACAGTATTAGCGTGTCAAAATGACATAAACCAAAATCACATTTTAGCCCCTTGTTTGCCGTATAGACATGGCAGCAAAAAGGCATAAAAACGATAACCGACAAACGCATCAAGAAATGGCCTGAATGGCAGAAGGGGGACAGAATCATCTAAAAATTAAAATTCTTTTCTTAAAAAAATATGTATTATTAGCTCTCAAAATATAATATAATTTTTGGTATTAAAACCTCTCTTTTTTTCTAACAAAGTTTTAATTGAAAGTCCGTAAGTCTTGCGAAGTAATCGATAGACCCTCGCCCAACTGTTGACTTTCACCTGAACCCAGAAACTTGTTCTTTGTTTCGAACAATTTTTTTTTATTGAATTTTCACACGAGACTGAACCAGCGTCTAGTTCACAGACCGCCTGCGACATCGTTCTACCAACAGGATCAACCCCACAGCTCATTTAACACATTGACATTTGGCTTATTAACACCGGGACACAAAGGAAGGGTCACGTGGCGGAGTGCGACCAAGGCTGTTTAACTAATGGACCGGGCATTAAATCGAATTCGCTCGTTATACACATGACTTCGATAATAATCGATAATGATTTGTGTGCGTAAATCAGGGGGAAGTTTCCCCCAAAGTACCATGCGGCGTATACTTGATGCACATGGTACTCCACTGCGAGAAATTCTCCAAAAAATAAGATGGAGTTGTTTCTTAAAAACCTTTTCTTGCTTTATAAAATCCTAAATATTTTAAACAAAAATAGTTATAAATTAAGTCAGCTGGAATGTCGAGTTGCAAACCTTTCTAAATATATTAGTTTTACTAAAATATTACTAAGTATATTTTTCCTGTGCCTGCCGTTTCCGATTTCACGGTCATTGGCTTTGACTGCCAGTTATTTTCAATTAAAAACTTATTTGGCAAAATTGAAATGCAAAAGCCGAGTGCGGGAACCACTTTTGTTTTCTCGACAATTTGCGGCAGCTCTTTGGCGAAAAGTTCTCCCTCGAAAAGTCGCGTCCTGCTACGCATAGAAATTGAGTTGCCCTCATTGTTTCCTCGTTGTTATTGTTGTGGCCACAAAATGGTTGGTGCACAACAACACTTAAGTTTAAGTGACTACTCGAGACTTTTGACTTGGCCTGTGTTAGTGTATGTGTGTATTTGTGTGCGCTTGGAATAAAGGACGACAAGGAGGGCAACCTCGTGACTGCGTGACCGGAAAGTGTTTGGCACTTCCGGTTGCCGCAGCCGCCAAAGCCACCAAAGCCGGCGAATCCACCGCAGCAGCCAACCACAGTGGCAGTGGCAGCGGAAGTTCTGCCACGTAGACAATAACACCAGTACACCAACACTATAGAAAAACTTGAACTACAATGGCAACCAGCCACGCGTACTCTTCCCCAGGATCCACAAAAAAAAAGGAGAAAGAAACCCAATTGAAAGGGGTCCTGGCAGCCAAAAGACGAACTTTCAATGCTCTGGCAAAGTCTACTTGATAGTTTTCTTGGAAATTTCACAGACTTCCTTGAGTTGAGCCAAGAACTTGCAAATTTGGAAACTTAAAAGGACAGTTTCAAAAGTTTATCAACCACTAGTACAACCTGTTGAATCTGAAATCAAAGGAATATTAAATAATTCTCATAATTTTTTAAGTTCAAATTATAATAATTTCCTCAAATTTTAAATGCTTTTTAATGGCACTAAATTGGAAAATTACCTTCTGCCAATTTTCCTACTCGATTGGAATATCAAAGTATTCCTAGCCAGGATACGGGACAGCTGTTATCCTGCGACTAAGTCGCTACCTATCGAGTATAGTAGTTTAGGAAAAGCGACAAAAGCGACGGAAAACAAAGAAAAGAAAACCCTCAACGGTAACAACAAAAAAAAGGAAAAGTAGAGAAAAGCTTTTCAGATGCAGATACAATCCACTGGAACCGTACTCTTTGTAGGCAGCAAAATGTCACGTTTTGGCCATAAAATGTGCTAAACCGTTTATCCAGCAAACAAACTATGGCCGCAATCAAATGCCAACAACCAAAAAGTGCCACAAAGTATGGCCCAACTATTGGACACGGCTACTTTTTCATTTCGCTAACCGCCATGCCGTTATCATGCAAATTTCATATTGAATTTGGCATAAAAATAAGTATGAAAGAGCACCTGCTAAGGTGGAAAATAAAAGTTAAGTTAATTGCTTTTGCATAAAGCCAAAAAAGGAAGGAAAAAAAAATACGCCAAGAGGCAGAAAGTCGGAAGCGAAAGATGCCATGGAAGCTGAATGGCAGGCAGGGCTGGGTCTTGGTCTGGGGCTGAAAATGAAATGAAACTCAGTCGAGCTGCCAGTTGAATTGCTGCTCAATTGAGTGGAAAAATTTTTCATCCATTGGCTTCCATTTTGTGGGGTTTACGGGAAGGGTCCGAGAACCAGGACTCCAAGAACTTTCAAGTCAATTTTTCTCTCTGGTGTGGGGGATTAAGTTTGAGAGTTTGTTGGAATTTTCAAGCAATGCTAAGAAATCGAAGAAATCAGTGAATGTAACGATTCAATGAACAAGTCAGTATTCCATTTTCACAAATGAAGATTCAATGAAAAGGGTACAAGTCAATTTATTTAAAATTTGCAATAAAAATAAGCCACCAATCGTAGACTTACTTTTAAGAGAAAATAATTATCCTTGACAATTATTTAAAATCCATCAATTTTGACTCTTTCTCTGATGCTTCAGACTCGTAAATTTAAGACAAAACCCAAATCTTGATTAATCTAATCAAGTCGATCTGCTTTTGTCAACAAACGCCGACAAATCTTGATCACATTAAGACCCGTTTATACCTTAAACCCATCTCATTTTTCAAAGACCGAGCGAAAAGCTTGGGGTTCGGGTTAACTGGTCCCATAAAAAAGCTTAACAAATAAGGGTAAGGGTAGACTTTAACAGCTAATAAGTACCTCAAACAAGTTTCTTAATCCCATACCCAGCACATTTTCCGGCTAGGTCAACGGACACGTCTGTAAACACAGGACCAAGGGACTGGCATCCTTTAGGAGCGGCCTGCTTTAAGTCAAAGAGGTTAATGTGGCAAAAAACAATGAGCCGACTTCAATGAGAGTTGAACGACTCACCGACCCACCAGGCCACCATTCTCTAACCAGAAAAACCATCCTGAGGTAAAAACAGGCTTTGCTTTCCCAGGGAAAGTATGCCACAATATTTTACACATGAAAGTTTAGTACCGCAGCCGTAGCCGAAAAAAAAAACGAAGAAAGGACTCGTTGGCAGGACAAAAAACACATTGTTGGCCACACGGGCTACATAAATAATTTCCACCACACACTTACTCACTCGACGAGTCCTGGCACTTTGACTAAATGGTGTGTAATAAAATTTAAATTGCTTTTGTCTGGATTTTCTTATGGTGTTGCCATAAAAGTTGACTCTGTCCGAGACCAATTTCCTGATCTAGGATGGTCCGAGTAGGGTGAGTCGATTTTTTGTAGGTGTCAAGGATTATGAACTTACTTTTTATTCAAAAATCCCCTTTCTATATTTTAGCTTAAAGTTAAAAGTAAAAATTGAAATATTAGAGTTTCCACAGCTTTAATCGTATGCCTCTTATGATATTGAATTTTAAATATTTATAATACAGAAACCATTTTTCAGCAAAAAGTGGAAATTCCTTCTTTCAAAATTCATCAAAAAACTTTTGACAATACCTACTCACATGACATCCAAAACAATCAACAAATGTAAAATAAGCAATGTAGGCACTCTTATGAAATGTAAATTAAAATTAAAACTTTTTAATTTTCACCACAAAAAATTTTTTCTAATTAATTTCAATTGTTATAAATAATCTGTAAGATTTATTCAAGCCACCCTATTGGCCGAAACACTTTGACATTTATAACAATTGGCCAAATTGCGGCTAATTAAATATGATTTAGCTGGCTGGGCAGTGCAAGTGTCTGCCTTTGGCTGAGCTGTCAATATTTGTCAGGAAGCAAGCGATAAAGCGGCCACGTCCTTACACTCACACATCTAGGACCTGTCTAGGACTGACCCTGACCCCTGACATTAGCCTTGTACGCTGTAGTAGTAGTACTACAGCTGGCCTCGGGCAACAAAATTTGTTTATAATTCAAATATCAGAAAAGAAAGACAAAAAAAAACATCCGAACAAAAATTGTGGAATTGTAGAAAAACGAGGCAAGGAAAACACGTTAAGCAAACACGATAACGATACTATATAGATATGAGTAGGGAGGCCCTACGAGCAAGGACAACAAGGACACAACCAAAAACACAAGCAGGCAAATTTATTTCAATTTAAAAATTTTGGTCACGCTCAACACAAAAAACGAGTTAAGCGAGTGGGTGTCATTGGGTTTAGTTGAACAAAAACAAAAAACCCAAAAAACAAAAGGAAAATGTAAAGAAACTTGGGGAAAGTGTCATTTGTATAATTGCTGTCGTGATAGAGGAGTAAACTGTGCTCCGGTTTGTCATCCCTGTCTTGTCCAACCCCTCGAAGATTCCTAGTTTATGCCTTGACACGCTCCAAGGACAAAGCTCAACGGCAAATGGATAAGGACATTATCATCCCTGGGCAGGGGAGGCTTGAAAAAAATGGCATTATGAAAACTAGCCAATGCAAGGATACCCGGAGGCTACTCATCGGATGTTATTGAAATTTGAGATGAGACTGGTTAAAGTCAAAGGTCCTGGCTGGAATGGTTTTATGGCTTTGAGGCCTAGATAGAGGTATTTAGATATTCCAGTTTAGGTATTTTTCAAATAATTTTTACGAATATTTTTCAAGACTGGCAGGGACTGATTTAAAACCTCTGAAGTATCGCATCACGACGCCATTTCTGATTCAATATTTATGCAAGAAAGCGAGCCAGCCGGCCAGCTTGCCAGCCGTCGACGATTTATGTCTGGGAATTAGTTGATATGCATTGCCGATTCGAAATCGCAGACAGGCTGGCGAAGGCTGCAAGTGCCTCGCTTTACATATACCAGTATATACATATACCCGTAGAACTGGACTGTCCGGGTCCTTGACAATGGCAATGAGTCCACCGGACTCGTGTGTTGACATCGATTGACAAGGTGGCAAGGTGGGGCAGAGTGTGGAGGAGGAACAGGCCGAAGGACACCACACCACAACGTTGAGTAAACTTTTTTTTTTTCAACCAAGTTCGAGTTCAAGTATTGAGAACAAAAAAACGGAAACGTGAATGTCGTTAAGTTGTGGCAACCACGTGTTGTCCTTCGCCAAAGCATGGGGCACATATAAACACAAATACACATATGTGTATATGCCACATGTATATGTGCAACAAGCGAGCAGTCTCAGGTGTGGCGTTGGGAATCGAACCAGGTGTCATTATCAAGTGGTGGTATAGTGGGTTCTTTTGTTTGTGGCTGTCAAAAGAGAGAATCGCAACTTGTGGCATTTTTGGGGCAATCAACACAATTTTTGGGGAAATGGAACAAGTTTTCACAACTTTTAAACAACGAACTTAAATGACATTTGAAGAAAGCATTTTTAATCAAATATTTAAAAAGGTTTTGGGCTAAGAAGTTTTACCAAAAAACCAAAGAAACTCCACAAGAACAAACCTTAACAAAAATAAGTTCTAAAGGACTATAACTTGTTAAGAAACTAAATAGCTTATAGCTTCAACCATTCAGTAGCCATAAATGACCAAAGATTATAAATTAAATGTAATACCATTAGATTTAAGCCACAAAATACAATAAATACAAAATTATGGCTCATTGGGGACACTTACCAGCACTTAGCACTGTCAACAACCTCCATTAGCATGCGATCCGCAAGGCAAACTTAATTCAAAGTAACGAATTGAATTGCTCAAACTAATTATTGGAGCGTAGAACGCTGCTGGGACTGAAACCCAGGAGAGAGCAGGGGAAGTCCTTCTACGTCTCCGTGTCCGTGTCCGTACGACTGATTTATGCTTGCAGGCGTCGCAAAAGCATTCATCCATTCTGACACAAACAGTATATCCTTCAACTTGACCACCATGAACGTTGGTGGGAGAAGGAAGGTCTGTTCTTCATATTGCGGTTTCTATATGGCCATGTTTGTTAGTGTGTGAGTGAGTGTGTGCATGAAATGTCCTTGTCAAACACTAATGGCGTCGTCGCCATTGCCATTGTCCTTGCAAGCGTGTTAATGTGCGACAGTTTCCTGCTACTATGACGTTTCCTTCCAAAGGCTAAAATCGAATTGAAAAGAAGCATTTTAAATTTGCCACACGCTTGTTTTTTTTGTATTTGTTTTTGTTTGGCGGTAGCAATTGAAATATGTTTCCGGCTTTGCCGTAAATTCGATCCATGTCCTTTGGCTGAAAATGAAATTGAAAGCCAGGACATCTGCCATGCTCTCGCTGGCATAAAGTCTCTGAGGGGGTCAGCATACAAACACTGCATTTTGCCCAGACTGCTTGATTTATCTCTTTCTCTTCTCGACTCTTTATTTTTCAGAATTTATGCCTCTGCAGTTTTCCATCGATTTTCGTCTTGCGCCACAACGGACTGGGGATGAAATACCAAACACATAAAACGGATTTGATATTAAAAAAATATGCAGGTAAAAATACATACCAATAAAAACAGAACAGACCACCAGGGTGGACTTTTTTAAGTTCAAGCTCAATATGGATTATTATGATATGCAACAGAAAATGGACAGTATTTTATGATATAAAATGTCTCGTCTGCTTTAGTCGTTTTTATGGCCATATTTTACGAAAAAGGTTATTTATTTTCATTTTTTATTTTTGTATTTTTAACCATAGGTTGTTAAAATTTTAAAACCATGTTAAGTTATGACAACGCTGCGTATGAGCAATTTTTTAACAAGGCAGATTACGTATACGTCATGTGTTCCAAGTGGGACATATTATTTAATTTAAAATATGCAATTCTTATATAATACCTATAATAGAAAACAATATAAATAAACAAAATTTTTTAAAAAGTTGTAAATGTACAACACTGCGTATGAGCGATATAATTCCATTCAAAATTTCTTATATGTACGACTCTTAATCAAAAGAAAAATGATAAAATGGGGTAAAAAATTAGATACACAATACATATGCCACATAAACGTAAAAAACTTCAAATTGACCTTATTTAAAAACACAAATTTTGTTGGATTATAATTTTGTTGGATAATAAAATAGACAACCATAATAAATCATTGAAATCTTAAAATTTTAAAATGTTTCATAAACGAAATCCCCTTCACAATTTAAAATATAATACGAAATGAAAGGTTCACTCCAATAATAAGCCAACATGTTGGCAATATGCTGGAAGGAAGCCGCGAAACAGGGACAACACGCCAAACAAAGGCTCTTACCAACTGCGGCTTATCGGCAAATGCAACATGGCGTTGGCCAAGTCACGTCTCCCTCTCGGCGCTGAGTTGTTGTTATAGCACCGTAGTTCCCATTTGTTAACGAAAAACAACACACACAAGCCTTTTATAATACAGACACACACACACACGACACTGACGTGCATACAAATTGCGAAAAAAGGAACTCAAACAAACAGCGGGAAACGAGTGCGGCAAGTGTGGCAAGTGCCACGCTTTAAATTGAAAAAAATATAAAATAAAATCATACGAGAATTTCGACAGCAACCAACTTCCAGGGCTGGTCGCCATATTGAGGCGCATAAAGAGATGTTGCAACGCGGAGGTAAATATTTGTTACCGCCGTGCAGAAAATGTCAAAAGCAATTGGTTTTTGGCTCGAAAGTGCGCAAATTTAATTACTTTTTTCAACGCGTTACGGTTGCGGTTAATTAGGCCTAAAACCACTAAAGAGTTTCTAAATAGTTTGGATCTTTAACTAATGAATACTTAATTGAATAAGGCATTCAGGTATCAGATGAGTTATTTAATTAAATTTCCTTTTCAAGCCACCAAAAGGCTCTCTAAATTGGGTGGAAAACTAACCAATGCACCATTGCCCTCTTGAATGAACTTGAAACTAAGATTTTTTTTCGTAGCAAATTGCACTTTTTGTGAGCTTGCAAATATGGCTAATGAAATGAAAAAGAAACGTACACAAGAGTCCACTCTGTGGCCGAAACTAGCTAATCGATACCTGCTTCGAAATATTGCAGAAACAAGAAAAAAGGCGCGAGCTACGCCTGAAGCGATTCTGGCGCTCCCCGAAGACCACCTCGTCGGACGACTCCACCGGCTATGAGAGTCCGACGCGAACGAAGGCGGCCAGCGCCGGCGGGGGCAGCGATGCCCAGAGGTTCAACCACCTGCACTACACCAGCCTCTCCCAGGGATCGGGCACCTCGTCTTCGGCGGGCGGAGGAGCCACCGGCTCCGGAACGGGGGCGGCAGTGGCGTCCGGCAGCAGCAAGCCCTCCTGCTCGCTACCACTGTTGCAGGTGTGGCCCAGCCAGGTAGGCTTTACTTTATTTGCCAACAAATCTATACACTCAACGAAAAACGACGTTCCAAAGTCAAGAAAGATTTATAATTTAGGGATAATTGGACTTTGAAAACCTTTGAGGATAAGGTATCCTTCGAAAACTACATTTTATTGGATGATATAATACTATACTTGATTTTGGAACGTTTATTTTTTCTCAGTGCATTAAAGTGGCAGCACAAAAACGAAATGAAAAAAAGATCAAAGAAATTGAAGACCAACCAATCTGTTTTTTGGGGAAAAAACAGCAGCAACAGTTTCAAATTTTGTGGCTTTTTAGTTTTGGTTTCATACATTCAAAAATATAAACATGGTTTTTTTTCGTGAAACTATACTCGTATGTGAGTTGATGCTGTGGCCAGTTGCCTTGTGGGTTTTTTCGTTAATTTGTTTCTTCGACTCTCTCTCTTTCCCACAAAAACCACCAAACTCCACCAAACACCACCAACTACTGCCACCGCCACTGCCACTGCCACATCACCAACACCACCCGTCTCAAAAAACATACAAACCCCTTTTGTGTGTACGTTGCGTGTTTGGTTCGGTTTGGTTTGGTTTTGATTGCTGGTCTGGTCTGGTCTGGTCTGCTCTGATCCCACCTGGTTCTGGTCTGGTTCTGTAATGGTAGCCGCTCCTGCGCCAGGAGGGCTTCGTACAGTTGCGTCGAAACAGCGGCCCCGAGGGCCAGCGGGTATGGTTCCATCTCCAGTTCCTCTTTCTCCAGCCTCTCTCTCTATTACTCTCTCACTTTCTCTAGTCTTCTATACTTTTCTCTAGTCTCTATTTAAAATTTGCCTAATTAATTCTAATTAGAATTTTTGCATGCCTCCATTAACGTTTTTTGCCAATTCAAAATAATTATCCTTTAACAAAAGCCTCCAACGAGCTCTAAGTTTTTTGACTACTAACTGTATAAATCTGACCACAGTACCCATATCTAGTTGAGGTTATTTTGTGTAATCTACACCTGAATTTTTACCTAGATCTCGTTATATAAAATATATATATTCTCATTGGGATTGTATTGCTAAAGTTTTATTTTCTTCACGCACACTTGTCAGCAAGGGTTGATCGCCATTTTTGAAAAAAACCATACAATTTTTTTCTAGCATACTTTTTTGCGTTGAGTCCTTTTTAAGAAAAGTCAGAATTCAGTCAGAAATAGTACCTTTAATACATTTTTTAAGAAATAAAGTAAAATCTTAAGCCTTTAAAACTTTTTGTACATATACTTAAAGAAATATTTGAATATTAAGCCTCATAGAAGATCAAAATACTCAGAATCATTTTAAAAAACAGACTCATTTATATTTTTCTTAACAAAAACCTAATTAGATACTTCCTTAATAACCTGTAGTATGTATTAGTAAACCTTTTAATGATCAGCCCTGGCTCTAAGAAATACAACACCACCTTGTGTAAGTAAATCCACTTGAAACACAAACTCACTTTGTATATATTATAAAACCCCCACTCCCCAGAGAAGATTTTTTTAATCAACCACCTTATTAATCGATATATCACCGTGAATTGAAACCCCAGAGCAGCGATCCCCACACTGCACTTGAGAACCAGCTTACGAATATACCCCGAGATCCTATATTTTTTGGATTTTCTCCCTTTAAATTATAGAAATAGTTTAAAGTTATATCCCGTTTTTTAAATGCCGTCTGGACTCTTGCAGGATTCGCCGCGCGGCGAGGCCGATGGCCAATCCTTTGTGTTCCCCGCCATTGTGGAGACGAGTGTCTGCAGTCCGGTGGCCGGAGAGCCGAGTGGCAGCCTGGGGAGCACCAACCTGAGCTTGAACGCCCGGCGGAGCAACAACCACTTGAGTTTGTCGACGGATCGTCGCAGTTCCTTGTACTGTGACACCCTGCACGCCGGTGACTCGGGGATCGACTCCGTACAGGCCTCACCTTCGCCGAATGCCTTTATAGCCCCGCCGGGGGTGCATGGACTGCCCCTGGGCCAGACGGGTGGCGGGTCGTGCCACGTTTCGCCCACAAGCACGCCCACCCAGGGCTCGCCGAACTTGTCCCTGGGCCGGCGGGGCATGCGGAACAGCATCTGCGTGGTGCCCAGTGGCGCCACCGGAAGGAGAAAGTCCAGTGCTCTGCTGCATCCGGATCATGCCCGGCTGTTCGCCCTGCGGATGAAGCATGCGGCCGCCTTGGAACGGGCTCAGACCTCCCCGGACCAGACTTCCATCGAGGATGCCAACGAGTTCCATGACAACGGACTGGCCACCAATCTGCGCCTGTGCTCGGCCTCGTCGTCGACGACGTCGTCGCTGACATCCGTGGCCGCGGTCAGCCTAGGCGGTGCCGTTGGTGGCTGCGGGGGTGCTGGGGGTAGCTCTGGTGGTGGCGGCACCGGTGGCGGCTCCTCCTCCGGCTCCGCCTATGCTGTGGGCGCGGCGGGCGTCCAGCAGCGCGTCTCCGATCCCTGGCTGCAGCCGCAATCCGACCGGGAGAGGGACTCCCGCCACGACGGACGGAGGCGATCCTCCACGATGACCGCCCGTTACTCCCTGTTCGATGCTTTGGACCTGGAGTATGTCCTGCTCCGGGCAGCGGCCAGGGGCTCGGTGGGTCCGTACAGCCTCAGCGAGTCGATACACAAGCTCACATTCACCCAGTCCTTGGCCTTCCCGGCTCTGGCCCGGGGTCTGGCCACCAAACGTCGCAGATCGGCCACGCACACCAGCTCCCGGCCCCTGAACCCTCACGAATCTGGGCTGAATACCTGCGCCAAGGTGGTCACCGCCGTCGTCCTGGTGGCCCTGTCCTTTATGGTATTCCTTATTGTCTACAAATTTGTGAGGACGTGAGGATTGCTCCTGGCCCCGTCGCCAGAGCTACCAGTCACATATCAGGCCAACTATGGATCGGAGGACGCCTCGACCACAACCTCCATCATATCCTCGGCGGGCCGCAGTCTGGGCAAGCACATGTCGGGGTTCAGGAGCAAATTGGGCCAGCGCCAGGCCGACTTTGAGTGATCGCAAATGTTACAAAAGGCTAAGGCATTGAAGACACTGGTCTGCAGATTTCTTTTTTCTTTAATTTAAAAAACAGAGAAGAATGATTCTGAAATTAATTTATATTCGTTTTTTTTTATTTTAAGTCTTTTAAAAAATTAATAGCAATAGCCTATATATGTATGTATATCAATCCATATCGGAATACTCCATATGTTTCGAAATCCTGCAGACCAGTGCAATTTTTGTGATAAACTATCAATGAAAAGTAAATTTCCAAACTTGAAATATGAAAAATAAAAGCAAACCAAAAGTATGTAAGTAAATATATATTAAAAAACCTAAGGCTTACAAAATTAGACAAAAAACAAAAACAAAACAGCTTCAAAAGGCTTGCCAGAGTTTCATCAATTTTATATAAATACTTATGAATAATAATATTTTTTTATAAATATAAAAAATCAAATCGCTGCTCGCATTTCCTAGGCTCCTACTTAGCAAAGATATTTGGATAGAACACAGACTCCAGTTTCATTGTTTAAAGTCGAAGTGCCTAACTATTTTTTTAACAAAACAATTACAAGTTACAGAAATTCTCAGCTTCTTTGGTTCTCTTTGAAAATAAAATTAACGAATTTAGAAATTGACAGATGCTTTGATGATGAAACTGAATACATATATTCTGCAGTAGCCCCATGGAGTTTTCTAAAACAAACGGGATATTAAAATATTTGGTGAAGGGATTTGAGAGGAATTATGATGGAATATATGATTACGAGAATTAAATTTCTTTATTAAAATGAAGAAACAATAGAATATTTAAATTATTTTCATCAGAAATTATTGATTCTAAATATGTATTTATTTATTTTTATTTTTTAAATTTCAAAGTCAATTAAATATATTTCAAATATATCTCCAAATAAAAGCATCAAAATTTCTCTAAAGTCCCAAAACACCATTTTAGAGTTGAATAATTGGCATTAGGTTTAAGGAGAAGGCAGATGGGATTAAGGAAGCTAATTACATGACAAATTCGTACTGACATTGAGTTGAGTAGACGGAATAAAAAATATATAGATATATACAGATATATATGTGGAAATCCAGGCATCTTAAACATTAGCATATTTATGGTAGCTATACGTAGTTATACAAGCAAATATATATATGTATATGTATACATGCATATGGATGTTTATAAGTGTATACTTAAGCGGCTTAAATGTGACAAAGCACTTGCTGAAATACCAAAACAAACTCTCTACTCTTAACTTGCTGCCTTACTTTCCTCTAGTGAAAATAGTCGAAACAATTTAGACAGAAGCCACAGGAGCGATGAACAAAGTCCCGACTTCAAATTCTTCATAAATTGCTGCCTTACTTTCCTATACGAACAAAAAACCAAAAAATATCGAAATATATAAACCTTTTGAAATGAAAAACCTCTTAACTCTTCGAGCTTTTTTTCCTATTTCCTCTATGAGCTTAACCTACCCATTATGCAAAAGCAAAAAAGAATCAGAAAAATTACAAAACATTTTATATAGAGTAAAGCATATGTATTAAATATAATGTTAAATAATTGATATTAATATAAAAGCTGGCTAATGAATAAACATTTTAGTTGCACAACTTTAAGTTATTCCTTCCTCCCATACATTTTTGAATAAATAATTTGTACATTTGTCGATGGCTTTCATCAGTATTTATGCATAGTTTTACGAATTTCTCCTTTTTCGTTACGATTGGTGTGCAGCCAACTATGGTTAAATAAAAATATAAAAAAAAGAAGGAAATACAAGAAAATGCATATTAAATGTCACTGAAATAAAAACGAGAAGAAAATGAAAAAGCAACTGTAAAACGTAACTGAAGTAAGTTGAAACGTGCAACAATAAAAAAAAGGAAAGAAATTTTCAAATAAACATTTGCCATTTGTGTCTTTTTTTTTTTTGGTGCTCACATTTCTTTTACGAGCCTGGTACGAAGAGTAAGTACGTTAACTGAAAATGAAATATTCCCAGTATCCCATTTATGTCTCGATTTTCCTCTAGCTTCCGGGGATTTTCACCAAACTAATTGAGAGTGACGTGCCGGAGTTGGAATGAAGAAACAATGCTAATGAAAATGATGATGATTTATGGAGTGCTTCGATTTGAAAAATCAATGCTGCTAATGGAAAGGAATTGAGAAAGAATTTCTTCTCACATTGATCTGAAAAAATTCCAGTAAAGTGTTTTTTTAAGGAAAATTTAAGGATATGTTTGAATTTATGTCTTTAACCTGATTAAAACTATTTTAATTTACTCTGCTCCGTTTAATGAAAAAATATTTAATTCCTCTATTAAATATTCAGTTTTTATGACATTCACAAACGGTAAATACAATTTTATTAAAATCAATTCGTCAACAATTAGTTTTCATTATTTTTGCAACAGCTGTGAAAAAATATTTGTGTCACTAATCATCAAAAATTCATGTCCTTTTTGAAACGACCAGCAACTAATAATTGAATTGTCAATAAGTGGAGCTCTCTTCACTTTTATGTAATTGGTTTAATGAAGATTGATGGGAGCCACGGACTTTACGAATTGTGGAATATAAATATTTGCACAAGCCTGGCTAACAATTTTGGCCAGAAATCACTGTTCGGCTTATTTTTTTTGGCTCGCTGTGATAAATGCGGCTGTCGTTGCTTGTCTTTGGGGCGATTTGCTAATCTAAATAATTAAGCAAACTCAATTAGATACGCCTGGGAAAAAAATATATATGTCAGCTTAAATGTATATGGTATATATATTCAATGTACGAACAAGACCCGCATGTGGGTTTTGTTGCCAACTAATTTTTCCATAAAGGGCAAAACACACTCGCCACGCCAGACGAAATGAAATGAAAATACTGACAAAAACGGCAGCTAAGGACATTTGGCACAGATTGAGGCAACTAGGCCAGAGCATTTGACGAAATCCTTGCTGGATTAAAGAAGTTGGGGCCAGGAAGAGAAGTCCATGCCATGTCATAGCCATATATGTATACATATGTGTGTACATTGTATACATGTGGTGTTTCTGGTCAGGGAATGGGGACAGCAACTGGAACTCAACTGAAACTGGAACTGGTGCATAATTAAGCACGCAAACCGCAGAGAAACAAAAATAAAAGCCGAAAAAAAACTGAATCAGTGGATGTGGCAGAAATCTATAACAAAAGCAAATATACTTTTCATGGCCTCCGATTGCTGTTGGCCCGGAAATATTCAGTATTGTGTATACGCAGTGTGTGACCATTGGAGAATCGAAAGAGTTACCTTTTCACAAATAATTGAAATGAAATTTTTAACAATTTACTCCATACTGGGTCCTGCAAATAATGGCTTTTAACTTTATTGAAGAATTCTTGTGGCCTACGGAAAAACTGTTCAACGTTTGATGTATATTAAAGCGGATATTTTAAGAATCTTGCAACCGATTTAAAGACGGAGTACCAATTATAAATAAGACCTTTTATCGTCTTCTATCAGCATTAAAAGATTGGAAAAATTGATAATAAAATTGTTCATTTTTTACAAAATTCTTAATATTACATTAGGGTATAATTTTTGGAGCCAAGTTTTGATGGAAAATGATTGTACTCGAAGTTTTAAGATCGGAAAAGCACAGTTTAAGATCGAGTTATGAACAGTTTTCCATTACAAAAATACGAATATGGGAACAATCGAACATATTTTAAGAAACCGTTAATTAAAATCCTTAAATATGGTATATATATTAAATTTGGTTAATATTCCTTAGTCGAGAGTACTATGCACATAAGATTTTCACGTTTCATACGTCAGAACAGATTCTTTATTGATTTCTTCTCAATCAGCAAGCGACTAAAATATTTATAAAAATAAATGAAAAATGTAGGAGCAAGTTCTATACACGTAGTACTTATGGATAAATGCTGCTCCGGATGTGTTTTTGTGCCTTTTGATACGCCCGGACGGTATATTTTTAGCACTCAAGGTTGCCAAGGCAACGGATGCTCATGCGGATGTGGATGATTTGAAAAGTGGTAGGCAACAGTTAGCAGGTGGGTGGTGCAAAGGTGGGTGGGCGGTGCAATGGACACACACGAGCCAAATCTACAACCGCCGCCGCCGCCACAGCCACCGCCTTGAAAGCCACCACAAATACACCTCGACTTTGTGAGTGTGTGCTCCTGTTTTACGATTCTGGTTTTTGTTTTTGTTTAAACTTGTTGCAAATACAGCCTGCATCGAGGCCTTGACTCTGAATGTGTATCCTTGGCTAAGGACCTTGGGCACAAATTGAAAAATTTGTGGGCCTGCTAAAAGCAGCACAAGAGCGGCAGCACTATATATGGCAAAAAGGATTTTGGGCTAAAGTAACTAAAAACTATAAATATAGAATCCAAAGGGGAGAGTATATTATATACTTTTTTTCCCTTTTTCTTGTAGAATATTTTAATAAAATGTAAGCCCCATTAAACCCTCATACCAATGTAATTCTAGTAACCAAAATCCCATTTTCTTAAGGTTCGACAAAGGTCAAAATAATTTGATTTAAATTTTAAATTACGCACACGATGAAAGTAATTTGGCAAAAAATTTTGCAAATGATGGCTACCCGAAGGCCGTCAGCCAACGGGTACAACAGGGGGACCTACGCGCAAGCAATTGCGTGCCGTAACTGTGTACACCGCTGGTAGTGCGACTATACTCTCCACGTGAGGGCGGCTGGTAACAGGTCCCGGTAAGGTCATGTCTCTGCCGAGGATGCTGGCTAATGGTAGTCGGGCGGGGAGAAGAACACTCCCTTCCTTAAATTACCCCAATCCAAGGTGGAACAGCATATGCCGAAGGATGCGTGTCCGAGGGGGGCTCGGACGCTAATATGCGAACTCTGGGGGACAGGCCGACCTCCCAGTTTTAACCAGGCTTATCGTGACAAGCGGGCTATGTCATGATGGACGAACCCCTTCCCGCCTACTCGTGGGACCAAATATGAACACTTTACCTAATAACAAAAACCAAAGCGGAGAGCGGAA